CCATCCGTGCGGGCCTGGGGCAGGAAGAGAGCCCAGGAAAGGGGAGGACACATGCATTATAGGGCTGCAGCCCTAATGGAAGACTGGCTACAACCTGGGGGTTATTAGGTAACTAAATATGTTCGGGAGAGTAGGAGACAAGTTTCTCACCCCCAGAGAAGGGAGTTACAATTACAGAAAGGGGAAAAAACTAGAATGATCCCCGTGGCATAAGAGTAGAACTGTGGCATTAATATGAACTCATGGTTTTAAATAGAGATAAGTTACTTCTGAGGAGGAGACAAAAAAAATTAAAATTAAAATTAAAGAATAGTGATAGAGATATAAATATATACATATATGGAATAATTAGCAAATCCACTGAGAAATTTAAAAAATACCTCTGGCAGAAGATAAATCAAGGAGATAAAGAATTAAAGAAATTATAGTTTTGAATCACTCAATAATTAATGATTATTTATATTATTATATTATAGTTATACATATAAACAATAACAACAAAGCAATAGGTCTAGATGATTTTTCAGGCATACTTTACTTTTATTTATCTATTTTTTTTGAGACAGAGTCTCACTTTGTTGCCCAGGCTACAATGAGTGCTGTGGCGTCAGCCTAGCTCACAGCAACCTCAAACTTCTGGGCTCAAGCGATCCTCCTGCCTCAGCCTCCCAAGTAGCTGGGACTACAGGCATGTGCCACCATGCCCGGCTAGTTTTTTCTATATATATTTGTTGGCCAATTAATTTCTTTCTATTTTTGGTAGAGATGGGGTCTCGCTCTTGCTCAGGCTGGTTTCGAACTCCTGACCTGGAGCAATCCGCCTGCCTCGGCCTCCCAGAGTGCTAGGATTACAGGCGTGAGCCACCACACCCGGCCAGGCCTACTTTACTTTTAAGCAACTGATAATTCATTTCTTAAATAAATAATTCCAGAGAATAGAAAAAGTAAAACCCACCCTAAACAATTTTATCAAACTACTACAACCCTTTTTTCAAAACTAGACAGTGGTAGCACAATAAAGAAAAAATATACGCTAATTTAACTTACAGCATAAATGGAAATAGCTAAAGAAAATATTAGTAAACTCAATCCAGCAATGTTTGTGTGTATGTATGTTTGTGTTTACATATGTGAAAGTATATGAAGACCAAGTTGAACTTATCTCAGGAATGAAATGATAATTATTTAAGATTTAAAAAATTATAAATATAATTTACCACAAGAAAGTGAGAAAAACTACAAAGTCATTTAAAGAACTTATAATCTGCATTAAATAAAATTCAACACTAATGCATCATTAAAAAAAATACTCAGTAAATTAGTATTGGGACAGAACCTCCTTAGCCTGATTAAAGACAAAACAAAACCACAGCAAATAATATTCAATAGTAAAATTTTGGAACATTTCTTTAAAGTAAGGAATAATCGCCAGGCACAGTAGCTCACACATGTAATTCTAATACTCTGGGAAGCTGAGGAGGGAGGATTGCTTGAGCCTAAGAGATCCCTGTCTCAACAACAACAACAACAAAAAAAAAAATAGAAAAATTAGCTGGATAGGGTAGCATGTGCCTATAATCCCAGCTACTCAAGAGGCTGTGAGCTATGAGGATGCCACTGCACCCTAGCTGGGGTTACAGAGCAAGACTCTGCTCAAAAATATTAATTAATTTTAAGAAATAAAAATAAATAATAAAGTAAAGAATATGATAAAGATTACTGCTATTGACCAGTGGCCTGGTATGCCCGGTCAATGCACTTGGTGAAAAGGAAGAAACAAAACTGACCTTACTCACAGCTGATATTATTGCCCACATAGAAGATCCAGGACAATCAATGAACGACAGCAAAAAATAACAAAATAAATATAAAGAAGAAATGCAAGGTGTTGAACACATGATCACTATTCAAAAGTCAAGCTATTCCTGCATGCCAGCAATAAACAACTAGAAAGTTGAATTTAAAAAATTCAATTCATGCAGGCTTAGTGGTGATATTAAAAAAAAAAAAAAATTCAATTCACTCTTCATCAAATTGGCACTGACTGATCAACACTATGGTGGTTACACGGTAGTAATATTCTCCAGAGATTAGGGGGTTTGTGGGGTTAAACTAACAACTAATGGATGCAGTGAGTGTTGTAGAGGGGAAGAGCACGCTTCTAATCCTCACCTGGGTGAGCAAAGCCATAAAATGTAACCAAAATCGTTGTACCCTCATAATATCCTGAAATAAAAATTAAAAAAACAAAAACAAAAGAAGTGTACAAAAAAAAATTCAATTCACAATGACATTAAAATCTTTAAAATACCCATGGATAAATCTAATAAATCTCTTTTATAGAGAAAAGCATAAAACTGGACATATGGATTTAAAACCACTGTGATGGATAAACTGACCACTGGAACAGACTAAAAGCTGAGATATAAACCCACTTTTATACGGGATCTTTGTATATTGCATATCCATGGGAAAAGGATGAATATACTTTGACTCCAAAGAATAGAAAACCAACTAAAAGGGCTTAAACAATGAGAAGAATTATCATCTGACAAAACAAAATATTTTGAGGTAAAGCTCAAAGTCATTATTAAGGATTCAGGTTCTGTTCTGTCTTCCTTAGGAGGTCATTACCACAAAATGCTTAAAGTATCACAAACATACATCAAGAAGCTGAAAAAGGAGTCTATTTCTTCATTATGTATCTCTCCTATCAAGGCAAAGAAAACCTTCCCTAGAGGCCCCTCTAGCAAACTTCCCTTTGCCTTTTTTTGCCTAGAACTGCTATTACTAGGTATGGAAATGAGAATACTGAGATAGTCTAAGACTAGTCAGGATTTGCCTGAACCATGTTGGGAAAAAAGTAGACACTGAAACAAAATTGGTGTTCTGCCAACATGAAAAAGAGGAAAATAACTATTAAGATAAGCACTCTACAGTACAATGGAATATTCAGTAAATGGCTTGGGGGGAAGTAGGCTATCCATATGGAAGAAAAGAAAATTAGATCCTAATCGTACCATAAACAAAAATAAATTTCAGTTGGATTAAAAATTCATTGTCAAAGATAAAAGTTAATTTTTAGTGGCAAATATAGAATATAGGAAGTAGGGATAGAAGAGGATTTATAATATAAAACATAAATAAGCAGAAACTATAAAGGATAATACTAATTAACTGGACTACATAAAAATTTTAAACTTTTATATAATATACAGGAATCAAAATCAAAAAACAAACCATAGGCTGGGTGAAGTATTTGCATGATATAACTTTTAAAATTCTAATATTTAAAATATATAAGGATAATTTTTCTGTTACCCAATAGATAAAAACTGGGCAAAGTATAAAAATGAACAGTTCTTGGAAGGGGAAAATTGAATCGCCAATAACTACAATATAAGATGCTCAACCTCATCAGTAGTCTGAAAATTGCAAATTTATATACAGAGATAGCATTGGCCCACTATAAAAAATGTTTAAGTTTGATAATACTGAAAAGTATTATCTGAGTACTGAAAAACAAATTGTCATCTATTCCTGGAAGGAGGGTCAACTAGTCAACTCTTCTGTTGACATTTGGTAAACTCAACAATATGCATGGTCGATGACCTAACACTCCTCTCCAAGGGATTTATCCTAGGGAAACTCTTTCATATGTGTATCAGAAGACAAGTTCTAGGATAGTCAGCACATAATCCTTTCGAATCATACACACACACACACACACACACACACACACACACACACACGCATGCATGCATACAAATGGAACAGCCTAACTAAACATCGAAATGATTTGCATAAATAAATTGTATATTTATGGCATGATTTAAAGGAATGAACTAGATCTACATGCATCACTTTGGATTATTTTAAAAACAGAATGCTCATAGGAAAAAGCAATTTGTTTAGCAATATTTATAGTTTGATATCACTTATGTAAAAATTAAAACCCATAGCACAGTATTCTGTATTATTTATGAAAAGATAAATATTCAGTAAAAATATGAAAACAAGACATCAGCTTGTAATTATCTCTGAAGAAAGAAAAAGGAGAATCAGATTAGGGTCAGATATAGTATCAAGGATACTTCAACTTTATCTCCAGTTTTATTTCTTTTTTTTTTTTTATTTTTTATTTTTATTTTTTTTAGCAGCAAGCAGACGAGCATACAGTTTTATTTCTTTAATGAAAAAGGATCTAAGATAAACATGAAAAAAATGGTAAATCATATTGAGAGTAAATGGTAAATCATACATGGAGAGTACACAGATATTCATCATTTGATGTAAGTTTATACTTTATAATACTTTATACTTTTTAAACTTTATAATTTAAAAATGTTTTATTAATATATACTTCATAATTTTTTAAAAAATACATATTTTTTAAAAAGTTTCCCATGAAAATATTTCATCATTTAGGAAAAGTTCCTATCCCCCCCACACAAATCACCGTATAAACACTATAAATGGAATTCGCTTCCTTTTATTAATTTTATTTTATTATTTTTTTCCTTTTATTTTTTATCAATTTTAAAGTCACATTTAACATGTGACTTTAATGACTTAACATTTTAAGTCACATGTTATATACATTGTTTAAGGACTAGAGACTAGGTAGTGTCAGAAGAAACACAAATAACAGTAATATTTCACAGGAAACATAGCAAGGACCAAAGTTGCCATGAAGATCAAAGAATAGAAAGAAGGTCCCAATGGCATAAAATTGTTAAAGAGGTTTCCAAAGGTCAGTAAAATGCTCAAAAAACACCCTTAGTTTTGAGTGAGAAGCCAAAGATGTCACTGTCAAAAAACTTTTAAAAACAGGTGTGGAAAAGTTTCTGCTTGAATTTTAACTTGGGTGAACTTAGAGAATACTATGCCGGACACATGTCATCAATATGATTTATTACGAAGACTATAATAAATGTCAAAGTTTTTCCTTGGAAGTCAAAACTTTATAAATAACCCACGAAGTTGCCATAGTAACATACCTGGAGAAGGAGCCTTTCGAAAGCCAGAAAGTTGTCCCACTTGGCACTCTGCGGGTGTTTCAAAGTTTGAGCTGTGGCCAGCCCAAGCTGTAGGAGCCCGCAGTGATTCATGAGAGCTTCGAGGTTGTTCCTGAAGAGCTGAATATAGGATGTGAGCTGCCCTGCTGTGACTCTCCCTGGGAAAACATAATAATTTATCAGTGTACCCCCTTCTGGGAGTAGTAAAAATAATGAGAAGGATGTCATTAATAATACCAATGTCTTATATTTGCACAGAACTTCAGAGTTGACTGCGAGCTCTTGTAAGCTATTGTGAGTCTTACAACATAGTGACGATAGCAAAATTGACACTATTTACCTGCATTTTGGGAGTAAGGAAATAGATGTTAACGGATCTGGCCAGGGTCATAGTGCTAATAGAATTCATTTTATCAATGTAGTACCCTGTAAATAAGTTTTCAAATAAAGTCACACAAACATACTTGTTGAGCTCAACTTGGAGTAGCTTTCTATGACATATAGCAATCTAAGAGGTAAAAAGGTAAGATTTCTAATGGAATGTCTACGCACATAAAATAAGAGGAGAAATCTGGTATGACTATAACTAAAACTTTGTCATTGATATCAGTGGCTTCAAGACAATGTTCATGAGGATAAAAGATGTCTGTTACATGGAACAAAAATGTATGAAGAACTAGGATGGCAGCAACACCAGAAGATGAGATATCAGAAGAAAGGGTTTGGCATGGGTAACATGGTATCTTTGCTACAATGGCCACCAACATTTAGAACAAGAGAGTCCACCTTATAAAAGGATAGAGACTGTGCAAAACGTTCCCATCAGTCCTTCAGAGCCCCCAAGTCCAAATTCTACCTAGAGCAGTCCTTCAACTGAGTCATCTCCCACTCTTTAATCTGTTAAATGTCATTCCTGCCCACCAGATTCTACCCATCAGGCAAGAAGAAGGCAATGGGGCCAAACCCAGATACAAGGCAAGTAAATCATCACTCAACGTTTCACCCACACCATGGTTGTGGGTCGCTCTTTTGACACTGAAATCCACATTTGTTTGTTTGTTATATTGCATTTGGCAATGAAATCATTTGCATTTATTTAGCACTTTGCAGTTTACACGGTGCTTACATGAACATGCCTTCTGATTGCCATGGCAACTCCACGAGGTAGCAAACAAGGCGTGCGCTGCATCTACCTGCAGTGCCTTGAGCTTAGTGTCCTGCCCAGTGTTAAATGGCAGACTACAGTTAATAAATGGTTTTTGGTAAAGATCCTAACACACGAAAAAATAAAGACCTTGCCACAAGAAACTTAAAAGCCTGCAACATACTTTTCTATCTTTTCATTAAATTTTTTGAAGAGATTAAGAATTTTGAAGTTCCTTACAACCAGTCTATCAGCGTAAGCATCTGAAGAAAAAGAACAGCAGTGATGATGAGGAGGAAGGTGAGTGTCACTAGTTTCTTTGGTCCCTTGGTAAAGCATGGATTCATTCCCAGTTCTCAAAGCAGCGAGCTAGCAATCTGCTTGCTCAAGTTCTAATAGGAAAAAAGCTCATTAACACTTTGTTTGGTTTATTTTATTTTTTTTTTGTTTGGTTTATTACGTTTACATTTAGTAAAATTCACCCTTTTGTTCTGTATAGCGCTATAAATTTATTTTTTATTTTTTTAATTTTAGTATTATTACAGGGTATAAAATGTTTAGGTTACGTATATTGCCTTTGCCCAACCCGAGTCAGAGCTTCAAGCATGTCCATCCCCTAGACCAGGCGTCCTCAAACTACGGCCCGAGGGCCACATGCGGCCCGCTGAGGACATTTATCCGGCCCTCCATGTGTTTTTGCCGCCGCTGCCTGTCCTGCTTAGCAGCCGACTTGTCCCAGGCCCACAGTGCGCATGTGTGGAATATGCCCACACTCTCCAACGGCCCTCCAATGGTCTGAAGGACAGTGACCTGGCTCCCTGTTTAAAAAGTTTGAGGACCCCTGCCCTAGAGAGTGCACACCACACCCATTAGGTGTGCATATACCCATCCCCTCCTTCCCCCTCCCACCTGCCCAACACCTGATGAATGTTACCACTATATGTGCACTTAAGTGTTGAGCAGTTAATACCAATTTGATAGTAAGCACATGTGGTGCTTGTTTTTCCATTCTTGTGATACTTCATTTGGTAGAATGGGCTCCAGCTCTATCCAGGATAATACAAGAGGTGCTAGAGCAGCACTGTTTGTTGTGGCTGAGTAGATCTCCATGGTATACATATATTTTATTAATCCACTCATGTATTGATGGGCACTTGGGTTGTTTCCACCTCTTTGCAATTGTGAATTGTGCTGCTATAAACATTTGAGTGCAGGTATCTTTTTTATAGAGTGTCTTTTTCTCCTTTGGGTACATAGTTGGGTAAACACTATCACAATCAAGATATAGAACATTCTATCATTCCAAAAAATTTCCTCTCTTTGTAGTCAATTCTCTTTTCCCAACCCCAGCCCTGAGTGAACACTTATCTGTGTTTATCTGATTTCTGTCTCACAGTTTTGCTTTTTTATTGTGTCATATAAATGGAATCACATAGAATGTCACCATTTGAGTCTGGCTTTCACTTTAGTATAATGTATTTCACTTTAGTATAATGTATTTCAGACTTGTCCATGTTGCTGATTATATTAGTAGTTCACTCCTTTTTTTGTTTGTTTGTTTGTTTGTCTTTTTGAGACAGAGTCTTTGTTGCCCAGGCTAGAGTGAGTGCCATGGTGTCAGCCTAGCTCACAGCAACCTCAAACTCCTGGGCTCAAGCAATCCTCCTGCCTCAGCCTCCCGAGTAGCTGGGAATACAGGCATGCGCCACCATGCCCGGTTCATTTTTTCTATATATATATTAGTTGGCCAATTAATTTCTTTTTATTTTTAGTAGAGACAACAGCTTGCTCTTGCTCAGGCTAGTTGCAAACTCCTGACCTTGAGCAATCTGCCTGCCTCGGCACCCGGCCTCTGAGTATTTTAGATGCACCAATGCAGGCGTGAGCCACCGCGCCTGGCCGATATACCAGTTTCTTTATCCATTCTACTGATGTAGCACATTTAGGTTTTACAGTTTGGGGCCATCATAAATACTGATGCCATGAACATTCAAATACATGCCTTTTGATGGATATAATCACTCATTTCTATTGGATAAATACCCAGCTATGGAACTACTGGGTAAGTGATGCTTAGTTTTAGCTGATACTGTCAAATAGTTTTCCATAGTTGTACCAATATCCTCATGTGCTTTATATTTTGTTTTAATTTAAATTAATTCAACATAATTTAAAAAATATACATGTAACATTTAAAATGAAGCATACTGTATGATTAAGTTTCCTTCATGGCATTTTATGTTGGGTAACCAAAACTCCAATAAGAATGAGAGAAAAAAAATCATAATAGAAAGCACATTGCCATACAATTAGGAGGTACCTTTATTTTCCTTATTGTTTATTTATTTATTTACTTACTTTCTTACCTAGTTACATAGAAAAATGCTTGGAAGGAAAGATAACAGTACTAATTTAAGAAAAAATGTTACTTTGAAGAATAGGATGGTGGGGGTGGAGATTGTATGTTTTATTTTTTATTTATGTTTCAAATACTCTGTCATTTAAATTTTCCAGAAGCTTATACTAGTATCACTTTTTTTCTCTTTTTTTTTTATTTTGGCATATTATGGGGGTACAGATTTTAAGGTTTCAATAAATGCCCATTCCCCCCTCCCCCCACAAGTCTGAGTCTCCAGCATGACCATCCCCCAGATGGTGCACATCTCACTCATTATGTATGTATATACCCAGTTAATACCAATTTGCTGGTGAGTGTATGTGGTGCTTGTTTTTCCATTCTTGGAAAACTTCACTTAATAGTATGGGTTCCAGCTCTAACCAGGAAAATATAAGATGTGCTATTAGTATCACTTTTTAAATATTGTCTTTGTTCTGAAACAAAATAAATGTCTGTCTTATGTACCATGAACAGATGTGTATTTTTCTCTGGGAAATTTGACTTCATTACTATCACCAATTTGTGTAATGGGTAAAGCATTGTCTTTCAACAGATAAAGAAAATGAAGAGTAATAATAACTGTGTACTTCCCACCTGAACTGAGGTTAAATGGCAAAGAAATAGAATTAATACGTGTATTTAAGTCAGATAGGAGAAAAAAAATTCCTGATCATGATGACTATTAGACATTAGAACAAGTTATTAAAGGGGGAAGAGGAAAGAATTATAAATCGTCTCCCACGGGGATCTGAAAGGCAATATATACAGCCATCTGTATAATGAAACTTGGACAAAGCCCAGCTGGGAATTGATGTCCATTTTTATAACACCATAAATACCAAAGGTTTTCTGGGATAGCCTTTAAACAGTGCGTGCTTCTTGTTACAGAAATTTTTGAGCCCTATAGCGTTAAAAGGTAGAATTAGAAACTAATGTGAAAAGAGTATTTTAATTATATGAATCAATTCAATCAAATGAGTCTAAAGTTCAGAAATCTGCTATAAGGTCCATTTTGAGGCTGGTATGGAATAGAGTAAAACTTTTGCAAGATGAAGAGTTACAGATAGAAAATAAACAGCTCTCCCTGAAGTTATACAAAACAGTGAAATATGAAACCAGCAGAGACGTTTATGGTTTAGCTTTCTTTGGAGATGTAAGCTTCGTAAGGCTGACTGCGACAGGGCCTCAATGTTTATAAATGTAGCAGAGAGCACAGGAGGGAACAGATTGCCTCTGTTGTCTAGAGGCAGATGGCCAGGCTGCCAGGGAAGGAGCATTTCCTTGGTGGCTCTACTCCCACTTGGAAAGGAACTTCTGCTCTTAAGAGAACCCCTAAATAATGAACCCCCACCCTGCAGCTGGGGGCTTTCTCCCCATATCACTCCCCCAAAGTTCTTTTTTATTTTTTTTTTGAGACAGAGTCTCACTTTGTTGACCAGGCTAGAGTGAGTGCCATGGCATCAGCCTAGCTCATAGCAACCTCAAACTCCTGGACTCCAGCAATCCTCCTGCCTCAGCCTCCCGAGTAGCTGGAACTACAGGCATGCGCCACCATGCCCAGCTAATTGTTTCTATATATGTTCAGTTAGCCAATTACTTTCTTTCTATTTTTAGTA